ACTCTTTCCACCAGAACCTAAGGTAAGTCCCCGTCTTTGTGTAGTTACTGAAACATCTTTCCATATAAAAGCCTTGCTTTTGCAGAAAGCTATAGTAATCTTAGCATTTCATCTAGTCATATAAACTTTTCTGGTGACACTTCTCTTCTTGTTTCTAATTTTTTCATAGTTTGTCTTCATTCCACTTATTTTTAGTCTCTCTCAGACTAAAAATGCATGTCCTGCTATTGGCTTTCAGTATTTATTTGGGAATTAGCACAGGATTCTATCATAAAATCACCATTGGTAGATTAATAACTGTCAGTTTGTAGTCCTTTCATGTTTACCTGCTAACCAGGTGCTTCAGAACTTAGAAGTAGTTCTAAAGCTTCATGATTTTGTAAAGTTCTCAATTAGTACTTCACACAGGCAAGTTGCCTTTAAACTTTGCTGAGTGCTGTAAATTGCAGATCTGATGAGGGAAATGCTCTTGAATTGCTGTTGTGGAAGCTGAAAAAATGAAAACAGACCTTGCCAATTGGCTTGGGATATACTGCAGAGGAGAATTAATGTTTCTGACTTCTACACATATTTTTTTTTTAATTGAGGCCTTTTTGACCACTTGAAGAAAAAATGTTAAATTCTACTTACATAGGCTTTAATTTTTTTGGTTTTGTTTTATCTAGGACTACTGTGTAGGTGAGCTGGTGTTGCATCTAGTAATAGATGTTTTCATATGGAAGACTGAGCATGAGAATTGCACAGCTGACTTCTCGTAGTTTTGGGAAGTGGGAAGCACTGGGAGGAAAGGAGGGGAATTGGCATACTCCAAGGCACTCTGTTTCATTATTGCTTGCATCTGCTGAAAGGCTAGTCAGAAACAAAAATGGAGGAAATTCTTGCAAACTGTTAGAATGCTGTCCTTCTAGGTGAATAATTCGGTGCATCTGTAATAGCTGAAAGATAAGTTCATGTACGCGTGATCATGTATGCATCATCACAGCAGGCATATTAACTTGAATATGTTGAATTACAGCAATTTTTAGTGTAAATTTTTCTTAGAAGAACGGAGGGTGGATGGAAGTTGCTTTTCATTCTGCAAACTGTTGATCTTAAGTTGAATCTCCTTTTATCTATCTGACTCTTTTACCCTATGCTTGCAGGTACTAGGAGAGATCTGTGAGCAAGGATATTCAGATGCTCTTAAATTCTTGAAAGAGAATGGTATGTTACACTTGTGGATAATTATTGATGATGTGGTCTTAAGTGGAGTTTAAAAAAAAAAAAAAGGGCGGGGGGGGGAGTGAGGGAATTGTACATAACTAAGAAGAGGCTAGGCCTTTGAGGTTTTTAAAAAGATCATGGTAAGTTTAGTTCTTGTAGAAATCACATAGTTGTTGTAACTGTTGACCTGAGGTAAGTTGTGCTTCCACACAGAAATTGAACTTTCGGGGTTTTGTCAAGCTTGTGTGAAGTCATTGTTAAGGTATTGTTAAGTGAAATTACCAAAGAATTCCAATTCTAGGGAAATCTTATTATTAGTTTCTTTTGTGTTAATCATGAAGGATGGGAATAGGCTATTGTTTCCCACTCCTGTGAAACCTCTATCTTCTTATCACCTCCTCTCTGCTATCATCCAAGTGAATTTCTAGGTCAAGCCTTACCGTCCAGAAGTAGGAGCTGGCTAACAAGAATATAAACTCAGTCACAGGCAAATCCTTAGTCTGTATCATGGAAGACTTTAGAAGAAGATGACTTGTAATGTAGCAGTTGTTGGGACCCAGATAGGAAGAAAATAATTGAAGGTTGTTCTGCTCTACTCCTAGAATTCTAGTAACATATTTTGTATTAATAAATGTTACTGCCCTGCACACTTTGAGACAAACTAGTTAAAGACAGTAACTTAATATTAGCATGAAGTTAACCATGTGTTAAATATGCCTAGCCCCTGTAGTCTTTGGATGCAGAAGTAAATTGGTACTGGGTCAGATTAGAGGAATGGAAGCTGAAATGTGATGTTTGCGCTCCTACAGATAGTACCAGCTGCAGTATTGTAGTGCAGTCATATATTGATGTGCTCACTGCTTATACTCTTAACTAAACATTAAATATTCAAGTTTTCTTAGAACAATTTTCTTCACTGTTAATGTCACGGTTCTGCTTAGGAGTGTGATATTTTTTCTAGTAATATTATTAAATATTTTATGAGAGAATCTTTATACGTTTTACCAGGTGATTAAAAGCACAACCTATACAAAGAGCCTGTAATTTGTGGTTGTCTGTGCTAAGATGGGTTCTGTTGCTGTACTGCACCCACAAGTTTCCTCTGTGCATGTTTCCATCTGACACCAATACCTGAGATTCCTTGCAACTCTTCCTTGGTGTCTTTCCTCCACATCCTCTGTGTATTGCATTATTGTCTTCCCTTTCACACTGCTTATCCTGTGATCACCTTTGTTCTTATTTTGTCACAGGTTTGTCTTGCTTCAAGTTTAATAAGTGATAATTACAACCTTTCCAAAACTCATTCATTATGCATCTTCTTTCTTGTTATTTCAACTGTAGGAGTTAAATTCCCACCACCCCCTCCATCTGTAACACTTCAGATAACTTTTTTGCTAAATTCACTGTATATTCTTTTGACACTTGTCTTTTAGGAGTAATTGTAAGTAGGACACAGATTCTGTTGTATGTAGGTATGGATCTTAGTCACATTTGGTAGTCTTTATATATAAATAACTTTGTAATGATTTTCTGGAACCCAAATATAAATACCCTTCTTGTATTTTTCACTTTGTGCTCATTATCTAGTGCTTGTTTCTAAGGTAATTATCAGTGCTATTTCTTAATTGGCACCAGTTTTGCAAGGCAACCAATGTTATTTTAGATCTGTACTTTGGATATATCTTAAAACAAAATTGTACCCTACTTGCTTTCCTTCTCCACCTTGTTGTAGCAACGCCTCATAGTACTTATGTGATGCCTGCCATGTCAGATTTCCCAAATGTCTGATGTGTTTTTGGTATTTTCTTTCAAATAAATATTACCTCAGTTTTCCTCCTCTCCTTTAAATCATTTGCATTCTTGCTGGAAAACAGCTTTGGTAAATGACTCTGTTTCCAGTACAGTTTCGGTTTATTGTTCACTTTTCCCTTTTCTTTAGAACCCGTTGTAAAGTAAGACCTAAACCTGCAAGAGTATTCATCAATGCAATTAAACGTTTGTGGGATTATAAAACCAAGTGTATTTGACATTGGGTAGATCACGTTCCCTCAGGATAGGGCTTTGTACAAGTTACACAGACTACAGGTACTGTACGAGTACTCTGAAGACTCATGGATCAAGTCTAAGTGGAAGCTTTTGACTCTTTCAGGTATTCTGAATGACTCAATTTATATCCACTTGTCCTTCACAAAAAGAAATCCTCTTGAGCCTGCACAACACATTGACTGTATGGAGAAAAAGAAATTGACAGAAAATAACAGAGTAGAAACTTTGAAAATGGAAGTACTTAATGACCAGCTGAAGCAAAATCCCTGGCCTTTGGAGAAGAGCATATTTGAGAGTCTTCCTCCTAGACTTCGTAAAGGTACATGCCTCAGACTGTTTCCTGTAACTTTAAATGGCAAACTTTGATTTATTTTTTCCCTACTTACTCCTACAATTAGCATAAGATGCTTTTTATTAAATCTTAAAACTGCCTGTGATATTAGAGACTAGTTCAACCCAAAAAAGTTCTTTAAATACTTATTAAATGTGAACATGTACATTTTGATTTAGCTACAGAAATAAAATTGAAGCAGCAGGAAGGAGCTACTTTCAACACTGTGGAGTCATGAATTGAATTCTCATTTGGTTTTGGATAAACCTTGTATGTGCATAGTATTTCTGTAAGCATATATTTCACACCAAAATTGAACCTCAAATCCAAACACTGGTTATCCCCATCTTATTTTTAAAAAAGGCTTCTGTAGCTTTCTATTTCTCTGGCTTTCCTGTCTTTTTAATAAGTTAATAGACCAAACCCACTTCTGATACTTCTTTATCTATCACTTTTATCTAGGGTTTTTTTGTGGATGCTGATTGGTATTTTCAAGATCTGAAATCTGTGATCCCAGTGACCTAGGAGAACATAATTTGAAGGGTGCTATTTCTTACAACTGTAACAGCTGGAATATGCAGAACTCTAGAATTTAAACAAGCTCCTTAGAGTTACAGAGTCTCTAACAAGACAGGAATGCTATCTAAAATATATAAGTATTTTTGGAGAGATGAACTTTAGATTCTCTTATTATAAATTAATTCTTAGACTTATTGCTTAAAAGTTCTGGGTAATGCCTTTTGTCCCTGTGGTATGAGTCTATTTCCCCCATATTTCAAAACAGGATAGAGAAGGTTTATGGTAAGAGTGCCTTGAGATTAATTCTTTCATTTTCTATCTGAGCCTTATTCAGTAACACTTGATAATGTTGACTGAAGATTACCAAACTTTGAGCAAATTATTTAAACTGTTTTCAAATAGTCTAACATCTTTTTCAAAACTAATTATTCTTAAGCACTGCAGGAAGCTTGTAAAGAACAGAATGGATTCTATGCTCAGTTCTCTAAACTCTTCCCAATGCGGGTGATATCCTATCTGATGCTACCATATACGCTACCAGTGGAGTCCGCGTACTCTGTTGCTTTACGGTAAGGAACTTTTAATGAACCATTTTAGAATTATTATATTTTGGAATTTTACTCATTGAGAGCTTATTCGGTGTTGTAGGCATTCTGGTACTCTAGAATTCAAGTGGTAACTGTCCAAAGACCATTATTTCTACCTACATGATGCATCCTCCTAAAGTCTCTACAATCTCAGGCTAGATAAATAAACATATTAAGATTCCTAAACAGTTTACTCTTACTACTAGTAGCTGTCTCGTAATTGCTCAAAAGAAGCACCCTTAATTGTGTTTTCCAGGAGCACGTTCTTTATTACTATATTCTGCAGTGGTATTTGAACTCTGTCCAGATGCTTCTTGTGCTTTAGCTTCTTTCTGAAGTCAGGAGTGAAATGCAGTGTTTACTCACCGTATAAATTTTCTTACCAGGTTTGTTTAGGTTGACTGAAAGCTGTGCTCTTGAAACAGGGTTTAATTTTATAAGTGTTTCAATTTTCATAAAGGAGAAATTATGCTAAATGAATGCACCATGAACCCTAAGCTTTGTGCTTGCTTAAGAGTCCTTGAGCAGCAGATGTCACTACTATCTTTAGAAAATACTTGAAAAAATAAAATGTTCTGTAAATGGAACTACATAGAACTCCAGTAAAATATTTTGCTTCCATGTCACTTAATGTGGCATTTCTGTGCCATTCTTGGTCGGTGGGGAGGAAGCAAGCTTCAACAGAATTTTTATGTGGGTTTTTCCCCCTCATCCCCCACTGGTGTAACTGACTTCTGTTAAGAGCGTCATAAGGAAAAAAATACATTATGTGATATTGTTCTGTTTCTGCCTTCAATTTGTTCTTCCATTGTGCTTTTCTTTTGTTCTTCCTTCCTCTTCCACCTAACTTTAAACTGACAATAAAGTTCCTACCACATAGAAAGAGGAGTTTTTTGCAGGCTTCGTAAATGTTGGTCACAGGGTGTGGAATGCACCTACTGCTCAGCCACGCAGCATAGATCAGAGAAGCAGTGGTCTGTGCTGCCCTTTTTCTTAGCTTGTAGAAAAGAGATGAGTGGGCTAGATAGGAATTCAGGGACATTGGGAAGAACTGAAGATCTTGGTGGGGAAGATAACTGGGGGAGAATGAAAGCTGTGTTATTTTGTTGGATGTTGGGCATGGTATGTAAAAATAGAACAGGGATTAGGTCTACTGCTTACAAAACAATTGTATTTTGTTTCCGATTATAGATTAGTAAACTGGTTTCCTGACATGCCTGCTGATGTTCGATGGATGCAAGAACAGCTTTGTCAGATTGCTGGTACAGTTTATTCCCAGGCTAAAAGCAAGCTATTCTGTACCTCCAGGTAAAGAGGAGTTCTGCTGCATGCAAATGATACATTTTGAGAAATTCTCTCTTGTCAGAGCTTCAAGTACTAATAACTTTCTCTCTTAAAACAGGATTTAGCAATTTTCTCAAAGGTAACACAAAACAGTTCTCACTGCTTCTAATCCTTAGCATTGTTTCTTAAGTATATTTTCTGGTATTTCTTGTTTATAACTGATCAATGACTGGTACATATTGTAGATGAAGAGGTGTTGCCTGTTGGTAGACTTATGCTTTTTGGAGAGAGGGGTGAGTTATGAGCAGGCATTAGACTGAGAACAGAGACCTTGTTTCTTCTCTGCTCCACAGTAGGTGGAGCAATCAGGAAGAAAGGAGGAGGAAAAGGTTGCTCAAGATGTTCTAAATCAGATGTAGCAGGTAGGAACTGGAAAACATGGGGCGAAAGACTAGATTCTTAGGAGTCTGGACAGGGAAAGTTGTAAGAGTTAAAGTAGATGAATATGAAGGACAGTCTTGTAAGATAGTTGAGAAGAATTAAAATAAGACACATCCGGAAAATTTTTAGGAACCTCTATTTCTGTGGAAGAGAAACCTCTACTCTAACCTGGTTGTAACTAGGTTCATTATGCTTCTCTTACCAAGCTGGTGTGAGATTCAGCCTTCCAGAATTTTTACTTCTGTTAAACTTTGTAGCACTATGTGTATAGAGGAATCGGTGACAACTCACCTCAGTATGAATCTAAGAATACCATTACTGTTTCTTGTTTTGCTGGGGAGTGTAGTATTTGCCCAAGAAGCTCTGCAAACTTTCACAAAATGAGTATGACCAATATTCAGCTTAGATTTTCCGGCTAAAGAATGGACTTGTTGCTGGAACGGAGAGTTGCACAGCCATGTCAGAGTAGTGCTATAAGTAGAGAAACATAGGCTCTCTCTTGGGTCCAAATGCTTACAAATATGAAGTCTCCCAAGATTTGGTCTGAAAAAGCATAAATCCAGACTTCAGCGGAGTAGGGCATATCTCTTTTACTGTAACTCTTCTGATGATTGTCTCAACTCCTGGAGTTGCTGGGTAGGAGGTAGAAGAAGGAGGAGAGAAATTAACCCGAAAAAGCTATTAGGAGTGAACAGAATTCTTAAACACTTCATAAAAGCTTCCAAGAGATAGCTGTAGCACTGGAGACTCCTAACTGCAGAAATTATTTCAGTTAAAGCATTGCCATGTTCTATATATAGCACACTTTTAAATTAAAACTAAGAATACCCTTTTATTCGAGCCAAGAGTTCTTGAGCTTTTGTCTTCCTGTTTATAGTAATAAAGTTAGATAAGGAGGAAGATCAAAGATCCTCTTTTTTGCCCTGGCAATGCTATACACTGACCCATCAGAAATGCAGGTTTGATATGTCTGAGAAGAACTGCTTGATCCTACTTCCTTATAAGAAGCTTTGCCAGGTTCTGGATTGGCATCGTGAAATTTCCGATTCACATGCTCTATCCTTTAGAAGTACAGAGTAGCCAAACTTACTGTTCTGGTTTAATGGAAGACTTAATGAGGTTGAAGCTTGGGTTTCCTTCCCCCTTTGTAAGTATTAAATGGTGGCTTTAATATTAGGTTGTAAAGATACTTTCTTTTTACAATATTCAGTTTTATCCAGAATTCAAAGCATTTAATTCCTGTATACAAATAGCCTCTCTTCTCCATTTCTGAAATCAGTTAAAGCCTTTTCTTGTATACCACTAGTTGGGTTTTGAGGCCGTCTCTCTGAGCAGAAATGTAGTTCTTGGTATATATTTGCTATCATCCTACTGTCATCTCTTCGGTTATTTGATACCACATGTAATCCACTGTCTCCCCCCCTTCTTTTCTTAATGATACTTCTGACTCCTTTCCACAATAAATTTGGGGATGGTCATCTTCCTGCTTTTACCCTTATTTAGCAGCTTCTTGATGTTGCTTATATTCCAGCCTTACCAATTGTGAGACCCTTATCTCACATGGGCATTTGGAAGGCACGGTATCACAAGACTGTCTCAGATGTTACTTGTCAGCGGAGTTCTTTGGTAATTGAGTCACAATTAACCAGAAACAGCTGCTTCTCTTGTGGAAAGAGAAGCTCTTGGCCATAAAACAGAACGTGGTGGTCATGTGGCTTTTGCTGTAGGCTTTTATGGTATCTTCAAGGTGATAGGCTCCCACTGAACTGTTGACACTGTCAAACTCTGAAGTTTTCTGAAGCCTTCCTTTAAGTAGATTCCCTTTTCAGGTAGCTAGATCCTGAGGTCCTCTGTGTAGAATCCTACGTTGTATTCTACAGGTGACTCTTTGTGGACTTGTACTTTGTTTCAGCATCTGCCAAGAACTTACTGCTGCTTTTGCAGAAAGTAATCCCCCCCCTCTTTTATGCTCTTCCTTTATGTCATCAGATCTAGCTTCTGTTTTGGAATCAGACTTACATCGAATGAAAACTTGTGCTGTTTACAGTTTGAAAATCCTTTTAGGAAACTTAACCTGGGGGATTGTATCTTCTAGTACACCTAAAGTTCAGGTATGGAAACTGGTGTTGAAGTGTGTGTATGGCAAGTTGGGGTTTTTTTTGTGTGTGAGAGGGGGCGTTGTGGATTGTTCCGGCTTTTTTCCCAAAAGCACTGCAAGAGAGGAGAGAGAACTTTAAAGGAAAAAAAAAAAAGGATATTCTTGGTGACAACTTCAGTTTCCTGTTTCTGAAATTGGAAAAGACTCACCTGGTGATTCAGGTGCTGTTTTAGAATGTAGGAAAGTTCTGTTCCAGCTGTTCAGGTTGGTGATAATTAGCTGGTTGTAAAGTGGAATGCAGAGATGGCATTTGGGAAGTTGAACAACTGTATTTGCTACTCAACTTGTAAATGTTGAGACTATCCTTGTTAATGTTCAGTTATTGCTGTGATGGGTAAATCAGCATATATTCCAAGTGGATAGCTGGGGAGAGATCAGGACTACTTAAGAGGTAATGTACAAACTGGGTCTACCTTTCTTAGCTCATCAGAATGGTGCGACTTTTAGTGTAACTATTTTATACCTACTTCTGAGGACAACACATAATGGCAGAACACCCTTCTTTTAGATATGATCATTTCAAGATTCTTTTCCTGTTGTCTGATATCCTAACTCGCAAAATGCATTTAGAACTAATTATTTTCCTCTAGTGTTCTTCCTTATATGAAGATTCCCTGTCAGATGTGTGAACAGTAATAGAAACGTCATTGAAACACTAATAATCTTTTCCTCTTTTCTTTTTTTAAACAGGAAAGACAATTACGCATCACTGAGAAAATGTCAAACTGTCCCATCTACTATGGAATTTCATTCTTCATACTGCCACCTTAAAATGCCTCACTCTTCTGCGGACCTTGAAACCTGGCTCTGGGAATCTTCATGCTTCATGCACTCAGCTATGAAAAATGCCTCTGCTAACATGCAGGAGCATTCAGACTTAAAGTCCTGTCCTAATTTTCTCCCAAATTCTGATGAGTCTGGGTTGGAAATAGATTTTGACTCTTCCTCAGAGACAAGTTTCCAAACTGCTCCAGAGTATTAATTTGGAAGTACATTCCACAGTTTCCAAAATTCCAATTTGGCAGAGAAATTTAAATCCTTAAAGGACTAAAGATCACTTTGTTTATTGCCAATAAGTCTTGGGAAATTATTTGTTTACAGCTTCCTGACAAATCTGCCTTGGGAATTCTACTGTTTTAAGGATTATAAAACCAGCGGCTGCTATACTAAGTAACAGACTACAGTTCTGTTGAAACACCAGCTGAATCAAGTGTAGTAAGACTTGTAGTAAAGAGTGTCTCTCTGGAAATAAATTTTTTAAAAAATCTACTTTCAGCATAAAAATGTAAATTCTGTAAACAGATTGTTAGACAAACAAGTATCAATAACAAAAGCTTTTTAAAAAATGTAATTCTTAACAATATTATGTGTTAGGATTACTTTTATAGCACTTAAATGAAACTGGACTTCTACTTCATAAAGGGAAATACACAAATGAGCTTTTTAGTGGCCTCCAGTGTCCGTTTGCCTTATATTTAAACATACTGTTGTGTTTATGGAAAAGTTGTCTGCACGAGATACTGTAGGAACAGTATTATTATAGGTTGTTTTATGTATTCTACAGCTCATATTACTTCTCTGTGGCTCTTTC